GATGTTGTCTACGTGATCAACCTCCAGCGAAAACCCTGGGCACTGAGTCTCCAATGAACTTCCCTGGTAGACAACATTTTACCCATGTTGTTAAAACTCATTGCTGGAGGACTTAACCTTGTACTGTGTGACTCCTTGGGAAAGTCTCTTGGAATCTTGTGGCTGGTTTCCTCCAGACTCTACTCAATATGCTTTTTGCTTTTATTGATTTTGTTTGGTATCTTTTCACTGTAATAAATCATGGCCATGAATACAACTATATACTGAGTCCTGTGAATCCTCTTAGAGAAATACTGGACCTGGGGATGGTCTTGAGGACCCTGACACAGAAGGCTTCATCTTCTGAGAGATGAGAGAGATCTGAACTAGTGCAATCATAAAAGGGATGAGAGGCCAATAAAAGTTAAGTGGTAAAAGCAGGGGCATTTGATTCAAACAGACTTAGATTCAAATTTCAGTTCCACCACTGACTAGCCATGGGCAAGGCCTTCCTATGGAATATTTAGTAGGACATGTCTAGCATACAGTTGGATATCCTAATCTAAAGCTGGTCATGAGGGCTACAGAGACAGACGTTTTTGCAGTCAGACACTGTAAGTATTGAATCCATAAAAAGAAATGAGTTCACTTAGACAGAATGCCTTTAGTGAGAAGAGGAAGCCCAGATCTAAAATCATAGACCAAATTAACAGTTAGAGGCAGGAAGTAAAAGAGGAACCCAAGATGGAGTTAGAGCACTGATTGTGGAAGTGTGGTTCCTAGACCAGCAGGATCAGCATCACCTGAAAATGTGTAAGAATTACAGATTTTCATTCTCTACTCAAGACCTACAGAATAAGAAAATCCAGCGCTCAGTAATCTGAGTTTTAACAAACCTCCCAGTGGTTCTGATACATGTTAAAGTTGTAGAACCACTGAACTGGTGTGTAAAAATCTAGTGAGAGTTAGAGTCTAGATACACAGTCAGAAAGCTGAAAAGAATCAGGCCAATAATATACATAGAAGTGAATGAGAGAAGATAGTCAAGAAGGGATAGATTAGCAATTTCAATGGCAGTACAGCAGTCTAGCAAAATAAGGATTTTGATGTGCTCATTGCATTTGGCAATGTGCCTTTCCCAAAAACAGTTTCACTAAAGTTGTAGGGGCAGAAGTCAAACAGCAGAGGGTAAAGACAAAAGAATGGAAGGTGAGGGGAGAAAGACACAGAGAGCCTACTACTCTATCAGGAATTTTAAGTGTAAAGGACCAGGATTGGACAGCAACCTGAAGGAGTCATAGCAGTGTTGTTGACATTATTTTTCTTGTTTTTTTTTTTTTTTAAGGTGGGGAAGACTTGACCAAAGCAACAGAAAGAAAGAAGCTAACAACACATAGAGGAAAGAAAAGTATAGGACCAAAATAAAGAGAGAATATGCAGAAAAGTGAGGTGGAGAGAAGAATTAACAGAAAGTGCTGGGGACTTCAACTGACGGTATAAACCACTCATTTGCAGTATAGCCATTTTTTGCCAAGTTACATGATTTTCCTTCCATTTTGTTCATCTGGGCAGATACAAAACATAAAAATTGAATTGTAATAATCTATTATGTATTTCTGGTATCCAATATAGTAGAGATTCAATAAATGTTTCATAAAATAAATTTTTAAGAGGGTAGATCTCACGTTAAGTGTTCTTCAAATAAAATAAACAATGAAATGATGTAACAACTCATTCTACTTTCAGAGAGACAGAGAGGGGAAAAGGAGACAAGAGGAGGAGAAGGAAAGGGAGGAGAGAAAAAACTCATGGATGTGAGGTTCACGCTGGAACAGCTCTTTCCAGCTCACAAAAATTGAATGTGTACATCTCTTTTCAATTTCATTCAGTAATGGGATTGTGATAACTCAAGATTAGCCATGATAGGTATATTTACACAACAGAAATAGGCAAACACAGGGCTTGCTTTTCTGGAGAGCCAATTGTTAAATATTACCAGCATACCACTAGAAAGTACTAAGAAGTGGCAGAACAATGAAGCAAGGAACTGGCCATTTAATGTTTACTTACTCTGGACTCCATCAGCAAAGCTATGAGTAAAGTAACTGATATCTGTATTAGGCACCTATAAACTAGGTCTCAGAAAGTTCAATAATTCCATAGCTAGTAAGTGGCATAGGGATTTAATCTCAGATCTATCAACTCTAAAGCTTATCCCCATGTTTCCCATACTTGCTTTGTCATCAAAATCATCTGCATCTCTGGTTAAAACATATATATTTCTGTGTCCCACTCCAGGCCTACCAAAGCAGAATCTCTAGGGGAAGGACCTGGAAACCTACATGACCTACACAATTGTTATTAGTAGGTAAATCTGGAAAATATTCTACTATGTCACACTGTCTCTCTAGTCCCTTCTTTGGTTTACTAGTATAAGAGGACTCAGAGCCACAGTCCAACTCAGGGATAAAAACTGGGTACTAGGTAGTAGTGGATGTTGTAGTTCTCAATAACATGAGATACATAAAGAATGAGGAGGAAGAACAGTCTGTAAATTCAGAGCAAAATTGCCTAGACTCAGGATCATTCTCAGAGTGATTCTTTGGCCAGAGATGATCAGGTCTTGTGAATCCCTCCAACAATGCCCATGAAATAATTTCCATTTTAGAGTTGAGGAAAAGAAGGCTTGGGAGGAGATAAGAAATTGGCTTAGATTCGCATTAAGGGAAAGCAGTAAAGACAGAATTAAAACAACTGGATATTCCCATGTTCCAACTACGTCACCAGGTTGCCTTTACATCCTTTGATGGATTAAAGTTTAAGGAAAACAATTTCAATATTGGCAATGACTATATCAAAGTATCATCTTTGACACAGGTAGTAAAACTGATAAGGTCTTTTTTCTTCCTTTAAGCTACACTCTAAAGCAACTGATTAAATAAAGAAAAAAATCCTCAGTCAATCTTGCTAGTTACTTGCAATGTAAAATAAGTGAACCATTACATTTAGACATCCATAAATCTGGAACCATATAAATATCACAGAAAACTCAAGAAATTCATAAACTACAACATCAATGACCATGTAACATGATAGAGCGCTCAGAACTGTGCCAGCATCTGATAGTAATTTTCATTAAGCATCAGTGTTAGTGTTAATTATTAGTCACCCATCATTACTCTTCAGGGTGCTAACATGCTGCACATGCTAGGTGTCTTAACTGGAGATCTGTTCTCCATCATGCCAGAAAGACTAAGTATCAGGTGAGGAGGCAGTATTAGTCCCAGGCATAAAGTCCGTGAACAAGAAAATGAACTGCTCCGAGGCAGGCCTGATAGCAAGGATTTCTGATTCATGAGTTTGAGTGGTATAAACCACAGCCCGAAGGTAAAGTCTTTAACTTACGTCTCTATATAAGCCAGCATTACTTACTATATAAAAATTTGCTTTCTCCCTTTTTTCAGGAGAAAACCATGCTGGTTAAGAGCATGGACTCTGGAGCCAGACTGTGTGCTGCGTGGGTCTCAATTCCAGCCTTGTCACTTAACAGCTGTACAACCTTAGGCAAGTGTGTATATATATATATAAAACCCTTTGTGCCTCAATTTCCCCATCTGCAAAATAAGGATATTAATAGCAGTACCTTCTTCAAAAGTGAAGATTGGATTAGTTAAAACTCATAAAACACTTAGAACAGTGTCTGACATGTACTAACCACAAAGAAAAAGTTTGCTAATAATTACTCTGTTACTCTTTCAAACCAATTGTCTCTGAGCCTAACTATACATATGGATTAGACCGTTGATGCTGATAGTAAGATAACCGATTTAGCAATTAGCAGTTAAATAAATTCATTAGGAAGGTTAATGGGAAGAAGTTCTCTGGAATATAGTAAGTTATCTTACAAGATCTAAGGAATGCACGTGACTATTCATATTGTTCTACTGGAGAATTTTAAAACCTTGGTCACAGTGCGTCTGAGCACTCATCTTGCTAGCCTGCTCACTTATCATCTCACTTGATTAGTAGGAGGTAGAAGAACTGATTCCTGAGCAAGCTGAAAAATCTTTCTCTCTCCCTCTCTCTATCTCACACACACACGTATGCAACTCACACACAGCAGAGTTACACTTAAGCACATTAACTTCAAATCTTTTGCTAAACAATTTATCCTTGCAAGAAAAAAAGTAGGTCATGATAGATCCCACAGGGAGAATTTAGAACTTACGTCCCAGGGCTTATGAAAACAGTTGTTTTAGGGGCATTGTTATTTACATAAATAATGGAAACAAGAGAATTTATCAGAGGCAAAGATCTCTGTTAGAGAGGAGGCAGATTCAAAAACAGCAGTTCTGCAGTGATTTCTTCATATGTTGCACTTTCAAACATTCTCTCTAGATGAGATCAAGTAAACAGATTCACTTTAAATATCTGGTTAATCACCTAAAGATGAAAAAGGCGCTAAGAGAAAATCCCTTGATCTCAAAATTAGGTAAATCATTCCTGAGCACTGGTCCCAATCTTTATCCGACTACAGTCTCTAATTAGTTTCTCAGGTATTGCTCCCTTGGGATGACCTAAAATAGAGACTACTACCTATCTTTAAAAAAAAAATTCCAAAATTAAAACACCATTAGTTTGTAAGACATCTTATAAAACTCTAAGTCAGCTCTCTTCATGACAAATTACTGAATAACATCTCTCGATTAGGTAATTTACATAACGAAGATTTGGACATAACTCACTATTATACCTATTTTACGCTGAAATCTCATTTTTTAAAAAGTAGCTCACACAGGTATATATCTTTCCTTAAGGGTATTATTAAAGCAACAGTAAAATGCTTAAAAACCATTTCAGCTGAGAGAATAAAAATCTTGATAATTGTTGAAAAGTGGACAGACTTACGCTGATGGGGTATTGTGGCCAAGAAAAGCAAAACAAAAAACCAAAACCCAAAACATCAAACCTCATAAGCCAATTAACCAACCAAACAAAAAACTAGACAAGTACTCTTGGAAGATGGTTTGTGCTAACATTTTATTCTGACTTAAGAATTTGAAACTCATGACTATTAAGACTGAACTTTCTGAAAAAGAAGAAAAAAGTACCAAATGTGTTATATTAAAGCAAGTCCTGAGAGAGTAACCAAAATACTCCAAGGGTCCTTAAGTGTGCAATGTGACCTTTGCATCTCTGTCTTGTTCCATTTAACTCATCCAAGCATCAGGTGCCCTGTAAGAAAGATGTCGGGATGTTTTCATTTCCATGCTCCATGCAATCAGCTGTGCTACCAACTTCAAACGACAAGTTTTCCTTCAGCTAAGACAACAGCGCTGTCTCTGAACTCACTATGCTACGGCAGACAGTTATACTGAATGCTCATACTAACATGCTGCTGTAGAACCATGAATTGGGAAATATTTTGTAGTCTGTTGTGATTTTAGCTGTCATGGACTGCTCTTTTCTATTTGTCCAGCTAATCTAAACACAATTTCCCATTCACCCTTCTCCCTCTTAGGAACCAAGAAAATATATACAGAAGGCTAGGTTGAAAAAGAATATAGTTTGTGCCCCTATTCTCAGAAGACTGAAGGCTCCTGGAGCCTTATCCATCTCATGATTGACAAGAAAATTGTTATTATCTTTTAGTTTGTCTATCCCCAGAGGATCTGCCAAGGTTCTTAGTCTGTGAATCTCCTTCACAGCCTTCAGATAATGAACAAGTCTGTTGAATCGGGGGTCCCCTCTTGAAGAGATGTTAGATCTGCTTTCTCCTCAGTCACAGCTGCTGCGGCTATGGTTGTATTATTAGGAAGGGGAAATCTGTTCACCTCTCTGGATTCCGTACCAGCAGCAACTGTGGAGAAAGGAAACACGTGATACTAATGGAATCCTGTTTTTAACTTTTTTCCTTGCATTTCACTGAAATAGCTATAGTTAGCATTTATTGAATATTTCCTGTCAAATAATGCTAAATGTCTCCATGCATTATCTTGATTAATCCTCACCACCCTGCCAGCAACAAAAAAACTACAGAACTATGAGATGAGTACTGTTACTAGATCCATTTTACTGATGAAGACATGAAGGTTTAGAAAAGTTATATAGCTTATCCAAGGAAATGGTTTCTGTTAAGCCATAAACTAATAGTAGTGTTAAAACTTGAAGTCAGAAGACTAAAACCAGAACTTAATAACTTAACAATTATGTTATACTACTGAAAGGAATATAGTCACTGCTCGATTCATTTATGTAATTGTGGGTTTTGTTTTGTTGACATTCAATAAGCCACAACTCTTTTTTTTTGTTTATTCAATACTACTAATAAGATGGACACAATGAGTAAAATATAAAACTTAATTCTCTTCTCAAAATGACTTTTAAAATATTTGGATAATTTATATTTATACCCAATTCATCATTTTATTCCAATTTTTAAAAATTCAAGCAAGAAAAGCCTGACATGGTATCTTTTTAAATCTTACCTATTGGATAGATACTAAATATTGTTATTTTAAATACCAGGTTTAAGGGTGGAGTTGTAACTACGTTTTTTAACTTGGAGAAAACAATGAATTAATTACATTGTTTTTTCATATTCAACATATGAGAAGAAGGATCAAGTTTTGGGTTGATTTTCAAGACAGCCCTTTAAAATATTTGCATATACTCATGCAAGAAAAAACTATGGTTCTGATTAATCAATTGAGAAGGACCACAAAAGGGACAGGTAGATAGGATCACTCTTGTAGACAGATGGGAGCTTTAGAAAATAAGCCCAGTTTCCAAGAAACTTCCAAGAAAAGAATTTTGCTTTTCTTCTTCATGTTTTTCTAAATGCTATTCTCTGAGCATAGTGTCAATATCTAGTACTAACCCCAAACAACAAGATGTTTTGGCCTTGACAACTAATGTGGAAAGATACAAATAACGCCATAACTTCCCAGTGAAAGAAATAAGAGGATTTTTCATTTGTGGCATTTTCAAATATGTAGATGATTGCTTACAAAAAAAATCCTAATAGGCAATACCAACAAGGGTTAAAAAACCATCTTGGGGGCTAATATTTAATGATCTAGTATTCCACTTGCTGCAAGTTTACCAAAATGATTAATTCAGTAATAAAAATTCTCAAGTGTTTAGATTTATTTGACTGCTTTTCATTGGCTCTTTCTAGCTTTCTAATGTCACATCTTGGCTTGAAATGCTCAAGTTCTACTTCTGAAACTGTGTGGCTCAGTCAACTGCACTGGCTCAAGGTTTTTGCCTTCCATTCTCATTCACTGGTGTGACCATAAATGGCACAATCTCTCTGAATGGTAATTTGTCAGTAAACAACAAAAGCCTTTGAAATCAGCATACGCTTTGACCCAGAAATTTCTGGAAATTTATCATGGATGTGTGCACATAATTAGCTACAAAAACTGGTCTTATTAATATTATCAAAAAGTTGAAAAAATCCCTAATGTCTACCAGGGAGTTGATTAAATAAAATGCAGTACGATCTATACAACAGAATACTATTAAAGAATTTAGATGTATATACCTGTCATTCAGTTGGTGCGAAATACATAATAGCTTAATTCATAAATGAATAAACAAGTTTATTCAAAGAAGAAACTTGCAACCATTTTTAAAGCTGCTCAAAGTGGCTTTATCCAGTCTTTGTTAATTGTATATTTTTACACATATAATAACATAGTTAACACCTACAGAGAGTTTGCTGTGTGCAAAGTACTATTCTAAGTACCTTGCATATATTAATACATTTAATCCCAAATTCCTTTGAGGAAGATACTATTATTATCCCCACCCTATAGGCTGAAAAACAGAAGCATAAGCAAAATCAGTTATTTGCCAAAGGTCATAGAGCTAGTCAGTGACAAGGCAAGGATTCGAAGCTAGTCAATCTGGCTCCAGAGTCTATGCTCTTAACCAGAAAATATACTTACCTCCTATCATAATCTACTGCCTATACAGAAAAGTCTGGAAGATTATTCAACATAAAGATAATGTGAAAGTGGTTATTTCTGATTGTAAGATTATTTTTATTTTGATCACTTTTCTATAGTAAATGTGAATTATTGTGTCATTCTTTTTTAAGTGAAAAGAAAAAGGCTTTTGATTGCAGAATGAGCTAGAGACAAGAACACTATGAGTTCTTATGACTGAGAACTACTAACACAGATCCAAGGTAGGGATTCTAATATTCCATGGCTCCACGTCTTTAGATGTCTCCAAATTGACAACAAATCTGGACAATGACTCCTTCTGAAGCTTCACATCTCACAGAGTAGAAGAACAATATCGTTCTAGTATATCAACATTGTTCTCTTGCTCTCACCCATTTGAAGTCATGTTTCTGATGTCTATTTTCTCCTTTAAGACCAGTACAAGTTTTTATGATTCAGCCCTTTGCCTTTCACTAGTAGAAGACTGGAATCGATATTTTAAGAGATTTCTATGATATAGTGAGCTCAGCTGGTACTCCTACAACATAGCCTAATGCAGAAGTTCTCAATCTTAGCTACTGTATCTATCTAAAACGCCACAAGAGATTCTGGTGCACCGCCCGGGTTGAGAGTTTCTCCAGCTTACTTATTATAGCATAGCTTATCAATTCACTTGTGGTACTTCAGTGGTCAGAATCACAGCATTAGTAAATGAAACTGAGTAACAGTCAATTTCAGAATATGTGTTATTATGCCTACTGTTATGTATACAACTAATAAAAAGCTTTGTAATTTCATTTAGAAAGGGAAAATAAATATGAACAATAAGAATGGGTTATTAAATATAAATCGATATATCTGATTGAAGTATTGGATTTACAAAGAAGTATACGTGTAAGTTTAACTGCAAAACTGAAAAACCAAGAGAAAGGGACTTCCTGAAGTTGGCCAACATGGTGCATTTCCAGTGACTAATCAGACTCATTGATCCAACTGAAACTATGTGAAATCATGTTGGTTTGATAAATAATACAGCTTCAACATGCACACATAATATCTAGGATTTAGTGAGAATTCACAAAGGACCAAGAACATGCACAGTAGCAAATAAGAACAAATTCCTTAGATGGTACAGAATAAGAATTTATGATATCCTTCCCTGGGATATTTAATTACCATGGAAGAGACAGATCTACACTCAAAGTTAGGCTAGGGCACCTGACCATCACTTGTTGAATCACTAAAGATAAAAATAAAAATTAATTTTAAGTACTAACAATAAACTTTACATCTGCTGGTATTTGTTCTTCTCTCTATTCCCAGTGATCTTGTGTGTGTGTGTGTGTGTACATATTTATTGACTTTGTTTCACTTAGGCATAAGTTTCCGGTTTAAGTAAAATTGTTCTGATTGTCTCTTTCTTTAACATATCCTTCTTTTCTCTCTGTAACCCCATACATACCTGGTTCTCCAACCACTTCACCAGGTATTCTTTCTCAGGTTCTTCTTCCTGAGATTATGAAGATGGAAGTCTTATCCATCTATAAACTCTTTGGAAATGACCTCGTTCAACCACATGGTGTTTGTTTTGTTTTGTTTTGTTTTGTTTTTTGTAGGGAAGATTGGCCCTGAGCTAACATCTGTTACCAATCTTCTGCTTTTTGCTTGAGGAAGATTGTTGCTGAGGTAACATCCATGCCAATCTTCCTCTACTTTATGTGGGATGCCACCACAGTGTGGACTGACGAGTGGTGGTAGGTCTGCATCTGGGATCCAAACCCACGAACTCCTGGCCACTGAAGCAGAGCAAGCAAACTTAACCACTTACCAGGCTCGCCCCATGGTTTTAAATATCATCTATATGCACAGGATATCGAAGTCTGTGTCACCAGCCCTGGTCTCTCCTAGAGACCCTCCTATGTGCATCCATGTGCATGGCATCTCTATTTGCCTTTCTAATAGGCTTCTCAACTTAGAACTCATGATTCTCTTTCCCCACAACCAAATGTATTCCTCTGCAAGTCTTCTCAGAACATGGAATGCAGTTATTCCTAACAAAAATATAGATGCTATGCTTGATTCCTCAATTTCCTTCATCTCCAAAATTTAATCTATCATTAAATCTAGAACCCATCTACTTTTCTCGTCTCCACTGTTATCACTCTTTTCCAAGGCTCTATCACCTCTAAACCAGATTACTGCAGTGGTCTCCTGAATTACACTTCCCCTTCTGACAATATATTGAAATAGCAACTAGAGAGATCTTTTAAAAATGTGAATTGGAGCATGTCACTTGCCTATTTAAAACCCTCCTATGATTCCCAGTTTCACTTAAAATAAAAACCTAAATTCATAAGTCTGGCCTACAAAGTTCTACATGGTCTTTCTCCTGCCAAACTTTCCAACCTCCTCTCAGTTTATTCTGCCCTTATTCACTACAGTCCTCCTAGTGACCTTCTTTCCATTTCAAGAATACCCTTTTCCAAGTTTGTGTCTCTACACCCTTCTTGGAGATCTTTGTAGGATATTAGGGAGCAGGGGAGACTGCTTCTTCCTCATTCCTAATATTTCTTTTCAGGTGAAGTGATCACTGCTGTGAAGCTTTTTGCTTCTCTCTAGCCTTTTTCTCTCTTCCGATTGTTAAATTTCAGAAGAATAGCTGGACATGCTCTGCTTTACTCTGCCTTTCTTCCTCTGGAGAGTGATCCTGCCCATTTGGTGCAGGGGCTCTCTCTGTGTATGTATGTAAGGTCTTTCTACCTGAAGAGATTGCCAAAGACTGGGATTGTGAGTCTGATAAATTTGGCTCTCACACTAAGCTCTATCCTCCAATCCGGCCTCTATTGGAAAAAAGTGCTATTTCCATATTTAATCCTATTTTATTTTTCAATTTGTTACCAGAATA